AAACACATTATCTTCTCATATATATATATATAACTAAGCTTTAAAAAATCATTTTGTAAATTTTTCATATATCCTTACAATACATAAACAAATGTTTGATCGTTTATAATTTTTTTAGTAATCATTTGGCATAATTTTTCTTTGCTAAATGTAATATAGAATAATTAGTTTTAAATTTAAGATGAAGAGATTCATCTTTATTCTACTTCAGAATATGTAAAACAAAGCTCTTGAAAACGCATATATGCACTTATTCCTTTAAGTCCCTGAGTAGTTGCGCCGGTCTAAACACGGTTACGAAATATATTCAGAAGTTTAGCCTCCCAAAAGAAATATCTGCCTACGTTATTGAATATAAATTCATGCATATTATAATGCCTGAAAATAAAGGCCAACCTAGCCTTCACCTCCCCAATATAGGAGGGATATTCACTCTCAAACTAGACGGGACACGATGTTTTGATAACAAGACAGCTTATGAATAAGTTATAGCTCAAATGCAAAAATGCCCATATGTCATTTCCATTCTTTATAAAAAGTGTGAAATATGTTTTCCATTTTTTTAGATTGCATGATTTAAATGTTGTAAGATATTTGTTTGGATAAACAAAATTCAAAAAAGTTGTATATATTCATTTGATTTCTTTTTATTCAAAAAAAATATTGAAATTGCATGAAGATGCATACTTTAATATATTATAATATACATTTCATGCGCGAGCATTTTAGGCGCAAAAACAGAAATGGGGCAGTCGTCGATTCTTAAATTTTTTGAAAGTGAAATTCAACTTTCCTAAAAGGATTTAGTCTAAAATTTAGTTACATGCTCTTTTTTTAATTAAATTTAATTATATTTTAACTATCCTATATTAAATTGGAGCTTAATTGTACTTTAAATATGTGTATGGGTACATTTCTTATTTTTCAGACTTCAGTGACTGTATTGTTCGATTTTTTTTCCTTCACCTTATGGACCAAACAATGTGTTCTAACTGAATTAATTTTCGTCTTTATGTTTCTTTCAACTTTTTCCTTCTGAGTTAGTGTATTCATTAAGTTGTTTGATTATAACGCTGAAGCACGTCTATATGAGATATTTGTCCATTTTTAAGTTGCATTCAATTTGCCTTTTATTATAATTCTAGAGTAACATATTTTGTTCCGTTCATTACAGCAGTGTTACTTTATTTCCAAAGTATTCACAACTGTGTTACTTTATTAATATGTTTAATTATATTGCTGAAACACATCTGTCTGATGTGTGACATTTGTCAATTTCTGCTTATTAATAAATTTGCATTTTTTACACTTCTTATGCAACATATTTTACTATGAATATTACAACTGTGTAACTTTATATTATTCACAAAACAAAAATTTTTAATCTCCAACAGTCTATTTTATATTTTAAAAGAGTTATACTGGGGTTGAAATAGTGCTAACTCATTTTTTTACTCTACCATTTTTTGCATGAATAATAAGTTCCCTTGCAAAATTCAATAATTAAATTAATAGCCTTTCTACCTGAGATTATCATCAAAGTACATATAAAAGCAATTAAAGTACACATCACCTTAAATTTTCAACTTTACACTAGTTTTATCCATCCTAATATATAAATTAAATACAACAAATTAAGGTTTATAATATATTTTTATATACTCTTTTTATGCGTGTTGATAAAATTAGTAACAAATAAAAATGCTTCAAAATTTAGAAAAAAAAAACATTCTACATAGATCAGCGATTCTCAACCTGTGGGGCGCGCCCCCCTAGGGGGCGCTAGCACACCAGAGGGGTGGCGCGAGAATATTCAAGAGAAAATATTATTTAAAAAAATTGATTAACTGGATGAAATGAAAGCGCACATATACATAGAAAACAAAATACATTTTGACATATTTAATAACTTATTAAAGTGAAACAACTTATTAAATCAAAATTTAAGGTGGGGAGCCAAGGGTGGCTTGGCCTTAAGGATTTTTTTATAATTTTCTGATTAAGTCTGTGTATCTGAATTTTTTCTGTAACATCTTACACCTATCTCTAATATATATCACGTATACTTTTAATTGTAAAATAAAATTTCATTTATTTTATAGTACAATTTCAAAATTGTAGCTTCTGCGCCTAAAGTTTCCCACAGGTTCCAAAGGTGAGCCATATATTGAAATCACTTTTTCACTTACTCAAATTATCCTTAGAAAAAACATTTAGACTGGCAAACGTCTTTTAAAAAGGCACTTTAAGTGTCTTGTTGGTAGGAACAAGTTTCCCGATTTTGAAAAAGATATTTGTTTTTTCAGAGTGTATAATTTGTTTATTGATTTTACATTGATAGTTCTTGTGTGAAGTCACTAGCGATTCTTTTAATCTTTATTACTGAGT